ATACTGGGCAATGATACTTATTATAATACGGCTAATAAATAGTCTATAATAAAAAAAAAACTACTTAAAGTCTAGAGAATTTTAGCGTTCAATACCTTGGCGTTTTATTGAACGCTGAGTTTGTATTACGTATATGAGTCAGGGGTGGGGTAATTGAAAAAAGTAATTGTAATTGACTGTAATTAATTACATTATTTGAAGTAATTGGAAGTAATTTGTAATTGAACATTTTTTCAATTACTTGTAATTGTAATTTAATTAATTACACTGAAAAAATACCATGCAATTTCAATTACTTTTTCAATTACATTTAATTACTTTATATAATACTTATTCATGATATATCGTCACCACTACCTCCCCATTTTACTGGTTAGCTCACCTCGACGAAGTCGAGATGAGCTTATGCTATACCCCCGGCGTCGGCGTCGGCGTCCCAGGTTAAAGTTTTAGGAGCAAGTCCCATTCCCAAGTAACTATAAGCCCTACCTGGACCAAACTTACATGGATGATGCATCTAGGGATGGACATGGCCACACTTGCTTCGGATGCTGGATCTGACCTAGATTTTCCAGATGAGTGACCAGGTTAAAGTTTTAGGAGCAGGTCCATTCCTAAGTAACTATAAGCCCTACCTGGATCAAACTTGCACGGATGATGCATCTAGGGATGGACACTACCAAACTTGCTTCGGATGCTGGATCTGACCTAGATTTTCCAGATGAGTGACCAGGTTAAAGTTTTAGGAGCAGATCCATTCCCAAGTACCTATAAGCCCTACCTGGACCAAACTTGCATGGATGATGCATCTAGGGATGGACACTACCACACTTGCTTCGGATGCTGGATCTGACCTAGATTTTCCAGATGAGTGACCAGATTAAAGTTTTAGGAGCAGGTCCATTCCCAAGTAACTATAAGCCCTACCTTGACCAAACTTTCATGGATGATGCATCTAGGGTTAGACACTACCACACTTGCTTCGGATGCTGGATCTGACCTAGATTTTCCAGATGAGTGACCAGGTTTAGATTTAGGAGTACTCTCGTTCCCAAGTAACTATAAGCCGTACCTTGACCAAACTTGCATGGATGATGCATCTAGAGATGGACATGGCCACACTTGCTTCGGATGCTGGATCTGACCTAGATTTTCCAGATGAGTGACCAGGTTAAAGTTTTAGGAGCAGGTCTATTCCAAAGTAACTATAAGTCCTACCTGGACCAAACTTGCATGGATGATGCATCTAGGGATGGACACTACCACACTTGCTTCGGATGCTGGATCTGACCTAGATTTTCCAGATGAGTGACCAGGTTAAAGTTTTAGGAGTAGGTCCATTCCCAAGTACCTATAAGCCCTACCTGGACCAAACTTGCATGGATGATGCATCTAGGGATGGACATGGCCACACTTGCTTTGGATGCTGGATCTGACCTAGATTTTCCAGATGAGTGACCAGGTTAAAGTTTTAGGAGCAGGTCCATTCCCAAGTAACTATAAGCCCTACCTGGACCAAACTTGTATGGATGATGCATCTAGGGATGGACACTACCACACTTGCTTCGGATGCTGGATCTGACCTATATTTTCCAGATGAGTGACCAGGTTAAAGTTTTAGGAGCAGGTCCATTCCCAAGTAACTATAAGTCCTACCCGGACCAAACTTGCATGGATGATGCATCCAGGGATGGACACTACCACACTTGCTTCGGATGCTGGATCTGACCTAGATTTTCCACATGTGAGACCAGGTTTAGATTTAGGAGTAGTCTCGTTCCCAAGTAACTATAAGCCCTACCTGGACCAAACTTTCATGGATGATGCATCTAGGGATGTACACTAACCAACCTGCTTTGAATGCTGGATCTGACCTAGATTTTCCACATGAGTGAATTTTAGCCATATTTTAACCAAATTAGCATGGATGATGTATCTAGGGATGGACACTTCCAGACTAGCCTTGGATTCTGAATCTGACATACATTTTCCAGATGAGTGACCAGGGTAATATTTTTGAAGTAGCTATATAATATTATGGCCTGTTATGATTAAACTTGCATAGATGGTGCATCTAAGGATGAAAACTTCCAGACTTGCTTTGGATGTTGGAACTGACCAAAATTTTCTTGATTACTAAACAGGTCAAAAGTTTTTTGAGCAGGTCTATAATTAAATCAAACTTGCATGGATATTGATCTTGGGATGTACCCTAACTAGAAAAAAAATATGTGAAATTTGCCTTACATGTAGATAACATTCGTCGAGGTGAGCTTCGTAATCTTTGATTACCTATGTTTTTTATTTTATTGTTAAACATATCCTCAATCCTTCAAGTATACAAAATCTTAGGTTAATGCTTACAAAAAAAATAATTAAATGATTGGCTTGATAATAATTAACTAGTTTCTTTCTAATCATTATGTAAATTTTGAATTTTTTTTATCTATGTTTATAAATATGAATCTTGAACCACCCTTCTTAGGTCTATTCAGCTATGAAACACAATTATTATATTTCAATCTTTGTTGTTTGATCAATAATAACGAAAAAGAAGGTGTGTGTCATTAATTAAGTTCTCTCTCGTTGGGAAGAGATAATTGCCCTCCAGATCACAGCTTTAAATTGCAATCAAAACAAATCAACTCCTCTAAAGAGATATTCATTCCATGATTTAGAAGACAAAGCCAATGGAGATAATTATTTCAATTTAAAATGCTCCGCTAGCTTAAGAAAAGAAAAACTTTCAATTTGATAATTATTTTAACATCAAAACAGATTTTTATGAGTAAATTTTCTATCTATACAATTCTGATTTATGAAGTAAAATTGTTGAACATAAATAGCAATTTAGGATATTCAAGTTACCTTCAAAGGAAATATTTAATTTGAGGGGTTACAGTTGCGACTCATTTCATTCTATTAAAATACTCACTTTTAATCAAATATCATAAGCCATGCAATTTGTGTACACGTAGGTTTTGTGTGGTGGAAACTGCATCAAACTGATCTCGGATAGTTCTTTAAGAGATTCTTATTGTTTTGTAAATAAATGTTATAAATTAAACCAGAATGATACACAATGCCTATAGCATATTATTTCTTGTACTGTTTGTGCAGAGGCTGGGCTTATATATACAAATAAATGATGTTCTGTATATTCATTGATAAGGATTATAACAATTTTCAAAACAAGATGTGTTTGTGAAACACTGATGCCCCCGTATGGCAACTAATAGCGAAGGTTAAACTTTCTCACATGTAAATCAAATATGTTGGTACCCAAAGTAAGGTCTTGGCCCGAGGAATATACCTGTGAAATATGCAAGCCCTATCAGCAACTATTGAAAACATATGAAAAATGTTAAAGTTTTTCAATAGTAAGTCAAACATTAAGGTCAAGGTTAAATGGTAAAAATTAATGGAGCTCAAGGAAAGGCCTTCTCACAAGAAATACACATGTGAAGTATGAAAATCTTAGCACAACCGATCAAAAGATATGGCCAAGGTTAAAGTTTTTCCAAAAGTAGGTCAAACTCCAAGGTCAAAGGGTCAAAGTTGTTGGTATCCAAAGTAAGGTCTTGTCACAAGGATTAGATATGTTAAGTATGAAAGCCTTAGCACCAACTGTTCAAATGTAATTGCCAAGGTTAAAGTTTTCCAAAAGTAGGTTAAACTCCAAGGTGAAGGTCAATGGGCTACAATTGTTGGTCTCCAGAGGAAGGTCTTGTCACAAGGATTACAAATGTGAAAAATGAAATTCTCAGCACCAACTGTTCAAAAGTTATGGCCAAGGTTAAAGTTTTCCAAAAGTAGGTCAAATTCCAAGGTCAAAGTCAAAGGATCAACGTTATTGGTATCCAAAGGAAGGTCTTGTCACAAGGATTACACATGTACATGTGGAGTATGAAGATATGGCCAAGATTAAAATTTTTCTAAAGTAGGTCAAACTACTAGGTAAAGGTCAAAGGGTGAAAGTTGTTGGTCTCCAGAGGAAGGTCTTGTCACAAGGATTACACATGTGAAGTATGAAAGCCCTAGCACCAACTGTTCAAAAGTTATGACCAAGGTTGATGTTAAAGTCAAATATGATGGTACCCAAAGAAAGGTCTTGTCACAAGGAATACACTTGTGAAATATGAAAGCTATAGCTTCAACCAATCAAAAGTTATAAGCAATGTTAGTTTTTGCGGACAAACATACAGACAGACGGGCGGACAGGGCAAAAACTATATACCCCCGAATCTTCGATACGGGGCATAAAAAATATGCAAATCTACAGACTATATGATTTAAAAATTGGTAAATTGATTAAATTGTACTAATACTGAAATAGTGAAAATGAAAATTTGATCTTATACCAATTTGCTGTATGTGATTATAAAAAACTAATCTTGAATAAATCTGCATCCGTTGTATAAGTTTCCCCTCCCCTTCGTTGGAATTTTTAGCCCACCACAGCCCAAGTGCACGGCCGGACAAACAGACAGACGACATGTAATCAAAAAAGCTCAAATCAAACTGTCCGTTATCTGTTCTTTTTGTTTCCATCTTTTTGAAACACTTCACCCTCATTCTTTTCTTTATTCCTCATTTTTTTCTAATTTGTATAACATTTGATAGCTAAATAGTTTTATGAAAAGATTTTTTTTTGATGAATTGTGTTGCCACAATGAATATACTTTCATGTATGAGAACTTTTTTCCATTGTAGTTCTGGTGAAATATACATGTTCATTTGTATGACTATATTATTGATGTCGTTTTACTATGTACTATATATCATTAAAATCAATTCCAAACTAAAAGAAAAGTGGCATTTTAAAGGAATGTAACGTTTTACGTTATTGTATCATCTTGTGATTCGTTGTTCTGACGTCAGAATGACTACATGTACTAATTTCCTTTGTGGCTTGACTTCTATTATGTTGTAAATTTTAAATAACTGAAGGGTGGGAGCAGAAGATAATCCACACTTGCTAACATCAAGAACAAGTTAGCTCAAGGTTTACATTCATTTCATTGAAGCAATTCTTCCTATTACACATATAAGTCATTTACTATTTTAAAAATCTTAGGTGCAATTAGTTCGGCACAAGATAAAAAAATGTCAGGATACATGACTAAATGTCTTTTTAATATCTAAAAAGATACAAAATTGCGTTACGGAAAACTAAAAATTTCTCATTGTATAACACCTTCTTTTCTAAGTTGATCTATTTCATCCGACCCTAATTGTAACAAGTCCTTTATCACGTGATCTGTATGTTCTCCTAGTGTAGGTGGCGCTGTCGGAACTGGTCTCGGGAATTCACTGAATCGAACAGGCGGTCCTAAAATAAGACAAGATGTGTTTGTGAAACACTGATGCCCCCGTATGGCAGCTTATGGCGAAGGTTACAGCTTCTCAAATGCAAGTCAAAATCCAGGCCAAAAGATAAAAAAATGTTAAATTTGAAAGCCCTAGCTGCAACTTTTCAAAAGTTATGGCGAAGGTTAAAGTTTTTTAAAAGTAAGTAAAACATCAAGGTCAAGGTCAAAGTTGTTGGTATCGAAAGGAAGGTCTTGTCACAAGGATTACTTATGTAAAGTATGAAAGCCCTAGCACCAACCATTCAAAAGTTATGGCCAAGGTTAAAGTTTTTCGAAAGTAGGTCAAACTCCTATGTCAAGGTCAAAGGGTCATAGTGGTTGGTATTCAAAGGAAGGTGATGTCACAAGGATTACATATGTGAAGTATGAAAGCCCTAGCATCAACCATTCAAAAGTTATGGCCAAGGTTAAAGTTTTTCAAAAGTAGGTCAAACTCCTAGGTCAAGGTCAAAAGGTCAAAGTGGTTGGTATCCAAAGGAAGGTCTTGTCACAAGGATTATATATTTGAAGTATGAAAGCCCTAGCTCTAACCGTTCAAAAGTTATGGCCAAGGTTAAAGTTTTGCAAAAGTAGGTCAAACGCCTAGGTCAAGGTCAAAGAGGTTGATATCCAAAGGAAGGTCTTGTCACAAGAAATACACATGTGAAGTTTGAAATCCCAAGCACCGATTGTTCAAAAGTCATGGCCAAGGTTCAAGTTTTTCAAAAGTAGGTCAAACTCAAAGGTCAAGGTCAAAAGGTCAAAGTTGTCGGTATCCAAAGGAAGGCCTTGACACAAAGAATACACATGTGAAGTTTGAAACCCCAAGCACCAACTGTTCAGAAGTTATGGCCAAGGTTAAAGTTTCATAAAATTTTGCAAAAGTGGTCAAACTCCAAGGCCAAGGTCAAAAGGTCAAATATGATGGTACCCAAAGAAAGGTCTTGTCACAAGGAATACACATGTGAAATATGAAAGTCATAGCTCCAACCAATCAAAAGTTATGGGCAAGGTTAAAGTTGACAACAGACAAACAGATAAACAGACAAACAGACAGACAGGACAAAAACAATATACCCCCGGGATCTTTCGATCCTGGGGCATAAAAATTAAACCAGAAGTCTCTGATGAGACTGTAGCTCTACTGGTCTGTTTGTATAACAAAAGAAAAGTAGCACTTGGATTTGAAACATTGCAACATGCAACAATAAATAGAATTATGTATCTTAATGTAGTCTACTTTTGTGACAAGTTATATTGAAATCAAATGAAAACTAGGAGTAGTAGCGTTTTGAAAGTATTTCACGGAAATTTTTATTTTTAGTACCGGTAACCATGACAACACCACTCACCCAAATAAAAAAAAACAGAAATACATATTATGTATCGTAGTGTATTCTAACTGTGTGCCAAATTAGATTGAAATCAGACCAAAATTGTAGGAGGAGTAACGTTTTAAAGGAATTTCACAGAAATTTCTATTTTAAGTAACCATGGCAACACTGTTCATCAAATTCAAAAACCAATGCAATAAATTATGTATCTTAGTATAGTCTTCTTGTATGCCTAATTATATTAGAAGCAGACTAAAACTGTAGCAGGAGTAGTGTTTTAAAGGAATTTCACAGAAATTTCTATTTTTAGTAACCATGGCAACACCATCCATCGAAATCAAAAACCGATGCACTAAATTATGTATCTTAGTGTAGTCTACTTGTGTGCCAAGTTATATTGAAATCGGACCAAAACTGTAGGAGGAGTAGCGTTTTAAAGGAATTTCACAGAAATTTCTATTTTTAGTAACCATGGCAACACCGTCCATCGAAATCAAAAACCGATGCACTAAATTATGTATCTTAGTGTAGTCTACTTGTGTGCCAAGTTATATTGAAATCGGACCAAAACTGTAGGAGGAATAGCATTTTAAAGAAATTTCACAGAAATTTCTATTTTTAGTAACCATGGCAACACCGTCCATCGAAATCAAAAACCAATGCACTAAATTATGTATCTTAGTGTAGTCTACTTGTGTGCCAAGTTATATTGAAATCGGACCAAAACTGTAGGAGGAGTAGCGTTTTAAAGAAATTTCACAGAAATTTCTATTTTTAATAACCATGGCAACACCATCCATCAAAATCAAAAACCGATGCACTAAATTATGTATCTTCGTGTAGTCTACTTTGTGTGCCAAGTTATATTGAAATCGGACCAAAATTGTAGGAGGAGTAGCGTTTTAAAGGAATTTCACAGAAATTTCTATTTTTAGTAACCATGGCAACACCGTCCATCGAAATCAAAAACCGATGCACTAAATTATGTATCTAAGTGTAGTCTACTTGTGTGCCAAGTTATATTGAAATCGGACCAAAACTGTAGGAGTAGTAGCGTTTTAAAGGAATTTCACAGAAATTTCTATTTTTAGTAACCATGACAACACCGTCCATCGAAATCAAAAACCGATGCACTAAATTATGTATCTAAGTGTAGTCTACTTGTGTGCCAAGTTATATTGAAATCGGACCATAACTGTAGGAGGAGTAGCGTTTTAAATGAATTTCACAGAAATTTCTATTTTTAGTAACCATGACAACACCGTCCATCGAAATCAAAAACCGATGCACTAAATTATGTATCTTAGTGTAGTCTACTTGTATGCCAAATTATATTGAAATCGGACCAAAACTGTAGGAGGAGTAGCGTTTTAAAGAAATTTCACAGAAATTTCTATTTTTAGTAACCATGGCAACACCGTCCATCGAAATCAAAAACCGATGCACTAAATTATGTATCTTAGTGTAGTCTACTTGTGTGCCAAGTTATATTGAAATCGGACCATAACTGTAGGAGGAGTAGCATTTTGAAAAATTGTTTACAGACAGACGGACAGACAGACAGACAGACAGACAGACAGACGGACGGACGACGGACACCTTACTATCGCATAAGCTCTTCTGGTCTCTGACCAGTAGAGCTAAAAATGTTATTTGTAATTTAATTAATTACTTTTGCAAAGTAATTGTAATTTAATTAATTACATGTCTTAGAAAGCCTGTAATTTAATTGTAATTTAATTGAAGAAAAAGTCAAAGTAATTGTAATTTAATTAATTACTTTTTAAAGTAATTGACCCCATCCCTGATATGAGTATACCATTCCGAATACGAGCGTTCAATATCGAACGCCCCGTTGTAAACAAAAAAAGTTATCTGGTCGATCTTGCGAAGGCAAATTTATGATAGATAATGGCAGCTAGGTAAGATATGTCTATTTTCACACAAAATTGAAAGCATTAATTAATAATTATAATATGTATTAGCGTCAATAAAACCCCAATAAGTAAATCATAACGCTTGGTAGGGTCATTGGAATGATGCGATATTGAACACTTACAGACTAGACGTTAATTTAAATACCGATACTGAAAAATTCTTATTAATTTGAGTTATTTAATTGAAAAAATTAATATAAATCAATAGGAGATGTTGTAGCTATATAATAAAGGAGTGATTGAACTTATATTGGTGAAAATTGGCACTCGTTCGCTGTACAAATGCACTCGCAAGCTCGTGCACTTGTACAGCCAACTTGTGCCAATATTCACCAATATAAGTTCAATAACCCTATAATATTACTCAGTAAAATATTATCACCAACTCCCGAGAACTCGATTACATCTAATTTTAAATTATTAACTATCAATAGATTTAACAGAGTTCCAGAAATTTCTGTAAAAAGTGTACATTCGGTAATAAGTTGCGACATGCGTAGGTCTCTTATTATATCAAGTACCTTGGAATAAGTCGTATTGTATAAGTTGTCATTAAAATCACCAGTAATAACTATATTATTAATTCCAGTATCCTTCACTTTTTCAATGGAATAAGCGATGTAATTCCACTTACTAGTCTCTGGATTTGGGGGGGGGGGGGGGGATAGAAAGTTCCTATTAAGAATTTCATTTGGTATATATTACATTCAACACAAATACATTCAATTTCCTCAAGCTCTAAGTCAAATCTTCTTTTACTCGGAATGTTTTTTTTTGTTTGGTTTTTTTTTTGTTATAACACTTTCATAGGTATATGTATACAACATAAATTTCATCATTTGGTACAAGTTAACATCCGATTACACATATTCTGTCTTGTCTTAATCATATTTACACAGATCTACTTTTATACACTATGAAAGTTTTTTTTAGAGAGAGAAAAAAAACAACAAACAGATAAAAAAAAAGGGGGGGGGGGGTCAGAAAAAGAAAACAATTATTCTATATTACAAATAATACAAAATGATAAATAATCAATCTAATTTTTTCTTCTGAATCAAATAGGTAACAGGAAGTATATATATCTGTATTAATTACAGTGCATCACAAATATTTTGCCAATGCCTTTCATATTCCTCATATCTACAACTTTTAAACAGCAGAACTTTTCCAATAAAAATTCTATCTGTGATCCTCTTTAGTACAGCGTCAACATTTATTTTTGGGACCTTCTTATATTTACTAGCAAAAATAAATTGTTTTACAATAAGTATTAAAAGATTCTGAAATTTATAAACATTCATATTTTCAAATTTACCAAATAGTATTGCTTGTCTATCAAAACTACAATGGATGTTAAACTTATTGAAAATCCATTCTTCAATGGTACACCAGAGTTCTTTTACATAAAAACATTCTACAAATAAATGATCAATTGTTTCTACCGGTATATCACTTCTGCAGAAGTACATGCTGGAGAATCAATCAATTTAAGTCTAAATAGATAATAATTAGTTGGGATGATTCTATGTAATAGTTGAAATTGTAGCCATTGAAATTTAGATTCTTTTGATATTTTAAAAGGAAGTTCAAATATTTTATTCCAGTCTACTTCACAAAGGGAAACACTGTTTTCTTTCCATTTTTTGAGCGAGTTGACTGGTTCTTTCCACCAGTATCCCTATATTCATTGATGATTTTTAATTCACACTGCCTTCACAGTTGTTATTAAAAAGGATAGCAACTCCCCTTGAATTGGATTTGAATGAACTAAAAAAAGCTTTATATCCCCACTGTGTTCTTATAAAGGTTTCATCTTTTCCCACAAAATGGGTATCTTGTAAAAAAAATAAACATTATAATTCTTAGCTTTTAAATTCTTAAGCACATCTCTTCTTTTATGAATTTTACCAAGGCCTTGACAATTTACTGTAAGTATTTTTAGGTTGTTGTTCTTATTATGATCCATAAATATTTTAAAAGTATGGATGTAAATATTGCTGACCCCATACAAGACAGAAACAAAAAGATAAATAGAAGATAACAAAAGTGTATATACAAAAGTATGTGGATTGTCTGAGAAAACATGCCTTGTTTTTGAGAGTAGAAAGTTTATACCAAAAACATATAATTGATATTACCAGGTCTGGTGCAATCACTAGATTTAGCTACGTAGCTTGAATTACCTACATAGCTTTATTTACCTACCTGAAGTAGCTTTATTTAGCTACTAAATCAAACTTATTTCTTAAATTAGCATTTTTCCCAGAAAGTGAAGAAAATTACATTTTAATGCAGTGATAATTTTCTACTTAGAACTCATCTGAAAACAATTTATGAAAAAATCACCCTTGGAAATGTGTCTTTTTCTGCGCAATTGCAGTCAAAGTTCTAGAAGTTTTGGGGCTATATCCAACAGTTAATTTGTGACCTAACAGTTACTTCTTGAGTGAAATAACAAAGAAAACCAGTTTTGGTTAACATGATCACAATGTGAAGTAGTCATACTTATCCACGCCTCATTGCACACAAGGTGGTGTACAGTTACTCAAACAATGGAAATACATATTTTCCTTAAAAGTGTTCAAACGCAGCAATGTTAAAACTATCTCTGCTTTAGATTGCTTTTTAAATAATACATAGAATAAATATTAGTAGTCATTTACTTGCGACTTTTTGTCTTTTTAAAATAAAAAGCAAAATTGTGAAAAGTTGCCTTGAAATAGCTAAATAAAGCTACCAGAGGTAGGTAAATAAAGCTACAGTAGGTAATTTTAGCTACGTATAGCTAAATGTACTGATTGTACTGGACCTGATTACTAAAGAGTTAACACTAAACACCTTTAAAAAGAATGAAAGTGGGTTTACAGGTGTAGGGAATACAGTATACAGAGTCTTTTCTATTTATAGAAACATATGTGAATTCACCCAACAAGTTGTGAATTAAAAATTTGTTAATTTTTTTTTTATTCTCTTTCAAGGGAAACCCATAGGCACTCCCCAGCTTAATTGTTAAAAAATGTATATCTACTATAGTATGTTTATAGTATAGTAGATATACATTTTTTAACCATTAAAGTGGGGAGTGCCTATGGGGAAACCATTAGCAGAGTAGTGGTGTATTGTAATCACAACTTGATTATCTTTTTTTAATAATTAGGTTATGTATCTATATGAAACAAACGAGACAATGCATACAGATCCCTCCGTGTTATGTGACATGTTGAGGAAAAAAACAACTTACATACTGCGCACAGTTTGAGCCAATATATTATCGGGAAAAGCGAGCAGCAAGAACAGGAAATAATATGTTTCAAAAATTACCGAAATATTTTAGGTTGGAAAAAAGAATTCCGGAATACTAGAAAATCGGTAAACACATATTTTGCCTTTTAAATATAGTTAACCTCTAAGATGAATTTAAATAAAGACAAGAACTCGATATTAAGCAGTTCTAAAATCATACATAACACTGGGTTTATTTTTCATGGTGTCAAACTGAAGTTGGTAAATTTTTTACCAAACTGAGGCCTGCTTCTTTAATATGGGAGAACCGACGGGGTCCAATGTTGTTTCCATGCCATCGAGACACAACCACCAGTACGTTGTTAACTTCATTTTCAGCTAGCAGTTTTAGTAATAGCCGTCCCGCCCCATGTTCCCCGTCATCATTTGAACCTTCATGGATTATCCCATCACTGCTTGTGAAACGGTAAACATAAACGTTATGGCTCGCACCTGGTACGGTTTCGATAAGCATGATTTCCACCAGTGATCGTTTGATCTGTTTATAGGAATCGGGTGGAATGTGCCATAAACCGGTTTCCATTGTCCTCAATTGACTTTCCTGGGTTAACGGTAATCTTGACTGCGTCGCTGGTAATCACCTCGTCTGCCGTGGGGAGAGATCCTACTTTCTCTCTGTAGATTGAATTACTCTGAGTGAAAATAAGTTTGTCTCCCTTCATTTTCGTCTCGATATTTCGCTCTGCATATTTTCTTTGAACTTCATATAACTGTTTTCTTCTTTCCCGTCATTGTTAAGACAAAGACAGTTTACATGTACAGTCATAAACAGAATGAGTATCACTCACCAAGTAAACTGACTTACCGAAAATACACAGAACATTTTCCCGATGTTTTGCGTTATATATTCTTTCAAAAGTTGTCACATAATACTTCAAAGGTTATCATAATTAAAGTCACTGCACTTTAGGCTTTCGGATTTCAATAATTTCGAGTTTTTAGGTAAAAACCTTCCTCTCAGAAAATCTTGTCCGTCTACATGTTGGGCATGCGCACTCTCTCTTTACTCGGAATGTTAATTATCTTTCAGGTAAATCATAACACCACCACTATTATTTCCTTTTCTATCTCGTCGAAAAGGTTCCTGAAAATCGTTCAACAGTATAGTTTGAGTTATATGCTGTTATCTAACCAACTTTCGTTTAAAGTCAATACATCGAATCCCCAAGCTCAGCTTGAATAATATCTAATTAATGTTTAGTACTTTGTACATTAAGATGTACTATAGAAACTGAGTTTTCCATAAGAAGTTCGAGAGAATCTGTAGAATTTTCAAAGGATACATCTGATGCAGAAGTGGATAATTCAAACGGACCAGGGTTTTCTTCAATATCACCACATAATAACAATAAATCTATCAAACAGTATAAAAGTTTTACTAGTAGAAATAGTGGATACTCAAGGAAAACTGTTAACCTGCGGATCGAAATGTTACATTGATCTAGAAAGGGATTTCTGTAAAATTGGTGTGTTCCAGTACTATACTTAATTAATTAATGATCGACTCTTTATCACCTAATATTGAATGATTGAACATCACAAACATTACTAAGGTAATACCTTGATTCCGTGATATATTAATAAATGCAGTTTCTTAGACAAATCATAGTATGATCCTATCCTGATCCTATGTATAATACAAGTATTAGCTTTCTTAAACAGCTTGTCTGACGTGAGCAAATTTATTATTATACGGAAATCAAGAAAATTTAAATCCAGCTTTTTGGAGGTCCGTGTTTGCTCTGCTCCAAAATTTGTATTGTTTAATGGACTTTTGAGCTTGAATACTGTTCGTTATCTCCATACATTTCACTTAATCAGCATTACTCTGAGTCCAAAAATAAATTATTTTTCTTACACACAAGACTGATCAATTTAGTGGTATCAATTTCCAAAAAAAACTCAGACATGGATTTATTCTATATACACTGAATTACCTTTTTTCATCGCTGTTCGAACCGGTTTGAACCGGATAGAGGATGGTGACGACTCGGAACCCCCCTCCCCAATATTTTGCCGATAAATAATATTAATATGCTACAGAAAACATAGCTACTTTTATATTACTTGTCCCCTAAATCATGATCATTTAATTAATAAAGCATGATGATAACTTCTTTTTGCTTGATAAGGATTTTTTTTCTTGATAATACCCCCAACTGAAGATTTTGGGTTGTGAATCCCCTCCCAGTGATATTTCTTCTACAGACCTGTTCCTGAATATATAAATATAACCGGTGCTTTTGAAAGAAAAACTTACAACACATATAAATCTAAACATCATTTGGTTAACAGTTTGTGATTTTTTAAAATAATAAACTTGTTATAAATGAGCTAACATCTTTGAATATTAGCAAAAACAATGTTCATCTTCTATCTTTCACTTGGATATTTTAAAACTATGAATAAATCAAACGTCTGTAAAGCTAGGAATATATGTCATTGTAGACTTTTAAAAAAAAAGGTAGAGATACTTTGTATGCATTGAAAATAAACATCTGTTAGTTAATCTGATAAGGATATTCAGACAAGTACTGACCTGACCAGTTTCATTCCTGCTGTTTTGCTGGAGATACTCTGATGAATGATAAATGATACATTCGAAAAATGGCAAAGTGTTATGTAATGCGTAATGTACAATGTGATAATAAATAGGTCCAATGTTCTTTCTTGCTTGGGTGTTTAGCATGTTTCCATTAATTACCATGCTCTCCAATTGATAGCGAGCGCAGCGAGCGGCGCGAAGCGCCGCTCGTTTCTGCGAGCTCTTAAAGAGGCTGGGGGGTTGTGGCCATTTTTAAACTATATTGATCTCCTTTAGAAGAAGAGCTCCATATGAAGATATAGATCAAATTTTAAAACTAAAATTTTTGAAATTTTTCTTTGCCAAATGATAGTTGACAGCTTAAGATATCTCTAAAAATTAAATTAAATCTGGTGGTTAATTTGTGGTTAATTTGTTGACCCCCCAGCCTCCTTAAAGCAACGCCTGGGCGAAGAGAAAATTCGGACTTTGCACATTGACCCAAACGATTTTTTTTCCGCAGTTACCTGTGGTCCCATAATGCTTTGCGAATTGCATCTCGCCGCAAACAACGTTCTCGCGGTAACAAGAAGTTCCAAGAAAAAATTAAACTCACCTTGATTTCATGGATGTATAGCAGATAAATAGTACATTGTAGATTAAACCTTCTTTATTAAAATTATAGCACTGTTCAGACTTCGTTTGGTAATGAAGCTTACAAGCGACGTCTTGTGACGTCAGAGTCTAGACGTACTAAATGTCATGTGCGATTTGAAGAGCCCGATCTAAATAAAACTGAATAGAGGTATCTGCGCTCGCCCTAACGGTCGCACCGTCAACATATTAGTTAAGTAAGTATGAAGTTTCCAAGATCGAGTTATCACAAGAATTCTATTGAACGACTTCACCAACAAGCCTTGGCTAAATCTAGTACTGTCTGACGCCATGACAGGCATTTATGTGATAGCAGTATGACAAGATTATCTTTTAAAAAGATAGGTGAGCTAGCGCTGTAGCTATCATAAACCACAGAATTAGATATCTGAATTATTCGATTAATTTGCTGAATCGATTAAGGGGACGACCATTTGATTCTGAGGAGGGGGGGTCTGGCAAAATCTTTCGAGTCAGATTATTTATTTTCATGCCAGTCAAGGACAGATTATTTATTTTCAAGATGATCAAGGACTTCTTCACTGAAAAGTTTGAAAAAAACAAAAACAAAGTTCAAAGAGGGACGGGGGGGGGGGGTAAGTAGCAATATTCAGTGACAGATTATTTATTTTCTTGCCGGTCGTGGAAAGACAGTTATTTATTTTCAACTTTTTTGAGGTCAGATTATTTATTTCCAAAATCTGCCGTTCCCCCCCCCCCCTTCAGAATCAAATGGTCGTCCCTAATTATTAATAGGAAGACACAGTGGTACAGTGGAGGTAGTGTTGGGGGATGTGTCTTAATTCAGAATGGTGAATGTATCAGATATTCAGTGTTTCATACAGAATATTCATCAGACTATTTATAAAAAAACATATCCGATGTTGTTATTCCGAGCTTGCCGGAAAGATCCATGAAGATAGTTAAAAAATAGCTAGTTTTTTTTTTATTATAATTTTAGAAATTGTGACTGATCTGTACAGTTTTGGCATTTACTGTTACCTTTTGTACATTTATTTAAGGTTAGACAACAAAACGCGAAACTTCAGATCATATGTATTTTCAGATTAAAAAACGAAATTGACATGGTACAGTTTATCTACAGTAGTGTTCCCAGAATGCTCTTCCATGAAGTCGAGCATACGTATTCCAGTAAAAAAGACTAAGGTAGTTGTTAGCGCTCGAGAGCGCTAGCAATAACAATCGGATCATTACTCGGGCTTTTCCGTCAAAAAAGGAAAAATTAAAAATTAAAGAATAACAATTATATCAGTGCTACTGCATTTTATCAATCGCTTCTCGTGTCTTTCCGACAAACTCTGAAAGATTTCCTGGGGGGGGGGGGGGCGGAATCATCTAGGAAGGTAGTATACATGTACATGGTTAGCTTTAAGGAAAGCTAGGTTTTACCAGTTGATCTCTACAATCTTGGCATTATATGACCCAAATTTTCTCGTACTTTTAATCATAGGTTGGACAATAAATTAAGAAATTCAGAATTCGGATCATATCAATTTTTTATGATAAAACGAAATTATCATCGTACAGTCTATCTTCAGTAATTTCCCAGAATGCCCGACCGTGAAGTCGAGCATGCGTATTCCAGAATTATAGACTAATAGTTGTTAGCGCTCGAGAGCGCTAGCAATAACAACACAAACACACAGAACAATCAATATTGAGGATCAGACATGTGATAGGAAAGACTGCCACATTACACCCATATATGGTCTTCAGACAATTATTACTTTCAATTCCGGGTTTCAAAGGAGATATATATGAAAACTGTGCATATGAATTCAACAAAAACAAT